TCCAATCTTCTAATGGTACTTGAATTTCTGAGTTTGTTGGCTATGCCAAGCACATGACATCTTGTAAGCAGAGCTTTTGACAATCAAACATGGGTTATAATTGGCTTAGAACCTTGGTTATAGTCAGTTGCTATATGAGACTGATTCATTAGATCTTGTTGACTAATTTCTACTTATACTTCATCAAGTTTTCACTTATGTTAAACAATTATTGCTGATATTGTTGAATTAAATTCATTAGGTTTGTTTTGTTACAATCTCTCATATTTTATGTGATGCAAATGCTTATGCAAATTTTCCTTGCTAAGTTTGGAGTCTTGGTCCATCTTGTTAGCTTATGTAGTAGGTAGAGTTTTTATTCACCAATTTTCATTTCTCTTCGTATTGTACTCAAAAAATATATTAAATAATATTTATTATTAATTATAACATATTAAGTTAAGATTTTAAATTTTAAAAAATTAAATATTCTTATAATAATATTTGAAAATATGTAGTATCTAAAACTAAAAAACTCATGAATAAATATAAGGTTAATTTAACAGTATTAGTTTGAAATGGATAAATAATACAATGAATAGTTAAGAAGTGAAAAGGATATAGAAAAGAAAATTTAAGTGGATTTTGCCCTTTCTCGTACACCCAGCTAGTCAAGATATGAAATATAATTTTTAAAAAAAGGAAAAAAAGAGAGAATTGGCACCATTTGTGGAGTTTGGTTTCTTTCTCAACAGGAGATGACAAGTGACGGGCAGAGGACCAGTAGAGGACAGCAGCTTTCATCTCCTGTCTTCTTGATACGCAGGATATTAACTTTCACCTCTCATTTTCTTTCCTTTTTTTCTTTTTTTGGGGTTTACTGACGACGGTGGAGGACCCGCTCTGGCTGGGAAGTGTTGCCAGGCAATGCCAATGGCAACGCTCAGACGCCCATCCATCAAACATTGTGGCGGCTGGCCAACAACTGTTCTTCGTATTTGCCATAAACTGACTTCTTTTCGAAAATTGGTTCAGGCAGAACCAGTTTTTAGTAAGAAATTTATTCTAACTAAACTAACTTTTATTTATAAGTTAGTTCAACTTTAACTGGCTTTTCTGCGGAAACCAAATTTCTATATAATTTACTTGTTAATTCCGCAAAAAATTAGTTATTTTGGTAAATAATATGAAAAGATATTACATGGTCTCGAGAATTATTAATCTAAAAAGTTAACTTAGAGGGTAAAATATTCTCTCACGGTAATATATTGACCACTTACCAATTCTGCAATTAATGTAAAATACAACAAAAAAAATATACTTTAATAAATAAAAAAATATTATAGAAAAAAGCCAACAATTGATATATGCTTTGAGTCTGATTTCTGTCTCAAAAAAGAAACTTTAGGACCTTTTTTAAAGTTTAAGATCGACTTTTACTTTTTTATATAATAACCCGGAGGTCACGGAATTTTAATTAATAATTTTATCAAATAAAATATCAATCTTTTTAGTCTTTCGGCGGACTAAATTTCAAAAAAAACGGGAACAAATAAAAGCCCTCGGTTTCTTGACCTCTGACTAAGATTAAACCTTGTTGACGACTTCAATTAATCCGATTAATTAGCTAACAGTTATAAACAGACAAAGGGGGGCCTCATACTTTGGGCTTTCATCCATTCTACACGGAAAACCTAGTCAGAACGTTCACACCGTTTCCATTGTTGGACAACCCGTCGAGGTTGGTGCCAAATATAAATATAAATTTTGTTTTTGCATGGATAAAAAATATAATGACATTTAGGTCCCTGCTTGGCACGCGATTTTTCAGTTAGAGGAAAATTTTTTGATATCACAAAATTCAGTGGAGCTTTTGGAAAAATCTTTATTTTAAGACTTGTGAATTTTAAAATGCTCAAACAATCCTTTATAGAGTAAACTGTTAGGTATATTTCTATATTTTTCTAATTAAATTACTCTGCACTGATTTAGAATTTTTAATTTGTCGAAAATTAAAATTTTGATTTAACCTTTTCTTAAAATTAAAAAATTGGGAGTGGCATGAGAGATATCTGTGGAATAGTTTTCACAAGAAGCCAAAAGAGGTCTAATATATTGCCTTTTTATTTTTTAAAAAAATTTTGAGCCAATAATTTATTGTATGACTTAAAATAAAAGCCACCGCTGTATTCCAAATTTACCATCGAGAAAACCTATTTGTTTTTAGAAACAAAGATTATTTATTTTCTAAAACACAAAAATAAAAATATATCTGCAATACTTTTAGAAAAACAAAAAAAAAAAAAAAATCCTTGGAAATTTTATGAAAAACAGTTTCTAAGAAAAAATAGAAATCAGGAAGACTAGTAAATATAAATAAATTTGAAAATTAATATTTCCTTCCAAGAAAATTGTTAGATTTAAAATTGTTTAAATAAACAACAATTTTCTTTTAAAAAATTAAAAAAAGAACATAGTAGGTAAAAATATAAAATCTTATAATAATAAAAAATAATTACATATTATAATTAAATATTGAATATTAAATTTTAAAATATTATAATAAAAGTACAAAATAAATTAATAATTTAAAATTTTCAACGTAAAAATAAATATTATGCCTATTTTATCAAAATTTCATTTATCAATTTTTCTACTTTTTAATTAATAAAATTAATAAAATAAATATTTATTAGTCAATTTATAAAGATTACACGTTAAAGAAACCATCAACTTTTCAAATAAGTCTACCAAACGGACCCTTTTTCCCCCACAAAACTTGACTGCAAAAGTCGTTCATTCTGAACATGAAAATTGACCCAAATAAAATAAGACTCAAGTCAAGTTCGCACATAAAGGCGAGTAGAATCCGTTGGACGCTTTTTGACCGGCAAATACGAGAACGGCAGAGATGGAAAGCACTGGCAGGTGCTTACACACATGCATTGTAGATAGAAACGCCATGTTTGGTTCTTCCAATATGAGTCTCAGATTTCTATGGCTCTTCCGTTTTTTAATAAATTAAATTTAAGCAAACCCATTTTAAAAAGAGCTCGAAACAAACAGATCCCAGTGATTTAACTGTTCTAAAGCACCTTCTTTCTCCATTTTCCTTGAAATAAGTTTCAAAAAATTATACAATTTCCCCGTTAATTCTATATCATGAAAAAAAATAAGAAAATTATCAAGTGAGACAGCTTGATAATTTTAATGACATTTAAAATTAGTGTGTAAAATATTATTATTGAGATCATAAAAAAATTGTCTAGTTAAAATTTTTTTGTATTTTCAAAATAACTTAATTACTAAATAAATATATACTTGTAACAATTATTATAAAATATATATATATTTTTTATTTAATTACAAATATATATCTATGTAGTAATATTAATATTTTAAAAATATAAAATATTTTTAGTTAGACAATTTTTTTCCCAACTCCGGACAAAAATATTTTATATTTTGATATCAAATATTATCAAAATTACTAAGTCGTATGCTTGGTAATTTTCCCAAAATTTTATGTATATACATTCCTCCTATTAAAGAAAAAGGAAAAGAAAAGAAAAGAAAAGAAATTATTTCCCGTATTATGTATATATCTACAGAAACGGAATACAGTCCAAAGAAGCGCTGTTCACAGCAGGAGGAGAATATAAGAAGGGTGGAGGGAGGAAGTGACTGAAAGAAAAGGGCGGTTTTTCATTAAGTTAGTTGAAAAAGAAGAATCTGTTTACATTCTTTCCTCACCATCTGTGATGGGTTCAAGAGTTGGGGTCTGTTTGCTTCTTGTTTTTCTTCTAATTTTCATGGCGATGGCGGAAGCCAATGTTAATGAAGACAGTGAGTTTCAATTACTTCGTTCCTTTTGTTGATTGAGTTATATCAACTTCTTTTGTCCGTCTATTCAAGTGTGATGAAGAGGATAAACAGAGTCTGTTGTTAGGCTGGCCAACCCGTTACGGAAGATCAATTTTATAGGAATTGCTCCTCGAACCCTTCATAAAAATCAAATATAGAAAGCTAGTCCTGAATTTGTTAGAATTTCAGATGCTTGGGTTTCTCTTCTCCCTCTAATCCCAGAAGATTCGAAATTATTTTTCATTTAGGAATAAGAAAAGGAAAAGTATCAATTTATAATTACTTTTAGAATTGTCCTAAAATGTAAATATCTTTTACGGTTACCACCGTTCGCCAATAATGAAAATCCCGCGAAAAAAGAAAAAACGCTCAAAGGAGCGCGCGCTCTTGAGCCGGTCGGAGAGCTCCGGAATCCGATGATGTCCAATGCTCCAATCCCATCGATATTACCCTCCTTCTTGCAGGCCGACGGCGACAAACGATAATGGTTGCAGTAAGCACGCACGAGGATTGAGTCTCTCTTACTCAAAGAATAAGTGCCCCGGCCAAAACCACTTACACCAGAAAACACGCCCTCTTCATTTTTTATTTGCTGAACTTGCAATGTGCTCTTTATAATTGTGTCAGTTGCATCTCTTAAAGATGAATACTTGTGACAGTGCTTAACTATGGTGATCGTGCAGTTTCTGCTCTGCAAGGTCTCCAACAGGTCTTGCAGCACACACCGGCCTCCTGGAGGAAGGGATCCGATCCCTGCGGTGAGAGTTGGGTGGGGATTCAGTGCTACAATTCACGAGTCACATCCATGTAAGTTCACCAATTTCTATCCTGCTTTGCCTTCTACTACTCATTCTGCTTTCCTGATTAACTCTGATTTTCAATTCCAGAAAATTATCAAGCATGAATTTGACGGGTGAGCTGTCTGAGGACATCGGTCTTTTGTCCGAATTACTTATTCTGTAGGTTTACCTGTTTTTTCTTTTATCTTTCATAGAAGTAAACAGTTACTAATCTCTCAACTGTTTTCTAATACTACATCCTGCTTTTAGGGATCTTTCATACAACCAGGGTCTGACAGGACGTCTGGACCCATCAATTGGAAATTTGACCAAGCTAACTCACCTGTGAGAAAAATAAGATTCATTGTTGTTAATGGAATGGGGTTCGTAAGTGATGTAGGTGTAAGGTTTTTATAACCCTCGAGAATATGATTGCTTCTGCTGGCATTTCAGAATCCTGGTTGGTTGTGGTTTCAGTGGCACAATTCCAGATGCAATAGGTTCGCTTAAGCAGCTGCGCGTTCTGTAAGGAATCTTACTTGGTCATTTGTCTTGTGTTTGCTATAGTAATTTTGAAGTTGAGATTTCTATGGCGCTCTAAGCTATTACAAAGCATGACTTTAAGGCATTAACTGCTCCAGTGCAGAATGTGTTCATGGCTGGAGCAGTAGTCCCTCCCCTGCTTTGCATTTCTACATACCCTTATGACATGAATCTGCTATGAAGGAATGGGATGATAGCACCATCATAACATAATTCATTACAAGTTATTAGTTAAATTGTTTTGTCTTTAAAATTAGAGACACACTGCCAAAAAAGAGGCAAGGACACTTGCACAAGCTGCCCTGTAGTTTTGATAAGATAATTGACTTCTCTCCTGATAATTTAATATTAAATTTTCTGCTGGTGATTTGATGTTTGTAGAAATGCTAATTCCTTACATAATTTATAGGCGTGCTTACTTATGTATAAATATGGTTTCCTTGAAATTACTAATCTTTGCAGCTTTCGAGAACTTTTACTTATCTGTAGTCTTTAGTCTCTCTAGCTGAATCGGCTTCAGAAAACCTGCTTTCTGCATGCCTTTAGACCATGATTAAATGAATGTAGGATCATGTATTACTTATATGTTGCATTAGATAATCTATTCTTTCAATCATTAATGCTGAAAATTGTACGTTGTTTCAAATCCAGAAACTTTGTCTAAATTGCAAATTAACAGAATGGTCGAGTTACCATCTAATATGCATTCAGGAGCTTCAAGTGTTTCCCTGCATTTCTGTACTCTGATTATGATTCTTTCCACAGGTCCCTCAATTCCAACTGCTTTAGTGGAAAAATACCACCTTCAATTGGTAATTTATCAAATCTTTATTGGCTGGATTTGGCTGACAATAAGATTTCTGGAACTATCCCCGTCTCTGATGGAAAGACAATGGGTTTGGATATGCTGCTTAAGGCGAGACATTTGTATGTCTAATTTCTGTGTGTTTTTGTCAAAGCTAATCAGTCCTCTCTTTCTTATGTTTATTCCAGATAATAGGCCTTTATGTTCTTCCTAACATATGCAGTCATTTTGGAAGGAATCAGCTTTCTGGTGAAATCCCATCTAAACTTTTCAGCTCCGAGATGACTTTGATACATGTGTAGGTTCTCTTGATTGCCTATTTATTTTAATGCTAAGTAGGTATAAGTGTTGCACACTTCCATGCACCTACATCATTTTGCTTTTACCTACAGCTAGAGAGAAAGACTGAATTCCAAAACAGCAAAATGTAAGGTGGTAGTAGTTATCTGCGTGTGCAAACGAGTCTCCGTATCAATTTTGCCTTGGCCTATTAAGAGCTTCCTTGCATAACACCTCTCACTTTCTTGTATCACATCTTTTATTAAGAGGTGCACTCTTGGGAATTGGAGTTGATGTGTTTTACTCATTCTGAGCTTGATTATTATTCATGATTTTTTCTATTTATTTATTTTATTTTTTTGTATATGTAAAGATGGAGAGAAAAGAATTTTTTTCATGCTTTATTGTGTCATTTTCTTTTGGACGAAGTCAGGCATAGTTTCTGGATTTCCCATTTTGCATGAAAAATTATCTCATCTGAAATATTGATTTGAAAACCTTCCTATAAATTAATTTAAGCAGGCTTTTTGAAAGCAATCAACTTACTGGAAGCATCCCTTCAACACTAGGACTAGTCCAGAGTTTGAAGGTTCTGTGAGTGTTGCTATCCTGTATTCAATTGAAATTCTAATCAGTCTTTCCAAGCAAGAATTTTCAAATAAATTCATATACTATGCATTTTCTTTTGTCTACAACAGACGCCTTGATGGGAATGCATTGAGTGGACCTGTCCCATCTAACTTGAACAACCTTACAGATGTCAACGAGATGTAAGCTGGGCAAAAAATTTTCGATTAAACCTTTCCAAAAATGTGATTCTCTCACATTGGATTTTTCAGCTTTATGATGAGAAGCTTTTGATATTACACTTACAGGTTCTTGTCAAACAATCAACTGACAGGCCCCTTGCCTAATCTTACAGGGATGAATCTCTCTTATGTGTAAGTAATGCTTATCTTTCTCACTATTAGAAGCATTCTCCTTTTACCCAGCCCCCAAACAGTTGCAACTTTCTCCCAGTGATGTTCTTGTTACTGGATAAACAACCTGGTGCTTCTGAATTGATGCTTTCAATGCAGGGATATGAGCAATAACACTTTTGATGCGACTGATTTTCCACTATGGCTGTCAACCTTAACTTATTTGACAACAGTGTATGCTTCTCCCCCTCCCCACTCACTTAATGCAGATACTGGCATGCATAACACTGGAAAGTGACTACTTATTGCGCAACAATTTTATGAATCCTTTTAGGGCACACGGGTGGTTTTCATCATTTAGCTTGATCTCGGGTCTTGGGCTTTATTAATCCCACCAATATGCCCATTCCGATAACCCAAATATGTCTTCTAGTGTTAAGCTTAACTTGCACATATACTCTACCTGAAATTACAATATTTTTCTACTGTTTTCATGATATTTGTCGTGGATAATTTGACCGTTGACTATTCTCACAAATCTCAACTTTGGGTAAATAAATATACTGAAGTTCACCTTTCAAAATCTGCAATCAATTCCCTCTCATATTAAATTGCAGTTCATTGGACTACAGAGATATGCTTACTATCTTATCATTCTCTAGCATTAAGTTATTTTTAGACTTCTAATTATATAAGAGCAAATACTTAACATAGATGCTAATTTAACAGAGAACAATGTCTCTACCTCGAAATTGGGCAGCATGATTTTGTTGCCTTACCCAACATTTTAACAACATGCTCCTGGTTCTTTGTGGCAGATTTAACTGAGTAATTTGCAACATGCATGATTGGATTTTTTTTTCAACATAAGTATATTGTTGTGGCAAAACTTCCGGGTCTTTGAATTGTTATAAAACAGTAGTTTTCAGTGTCTCATTTCCTCAAAGGGAACAAGAATTTCAATCTCTTCTATAGATATCATTTAGCATCATTTTGGCACTTCCAAACTTCTAACACAGCCTCTGGATGTTTTAAAGATGAGATTTGGCCAAAAGTATGCAATTGAAGGCAGGAGAGCAAGTGTTATCTTATCCAAACCCAGAGGTTGAACCTTTAAGGTAGTTGAGAATAGAATTATCTGCAAATCCTGGTTAGCATGGAAACCATTGTGAAATAGGCAAGAATTTCCTTCATAAGCAAATTGGAGCTTTGAGGTAAAGCTCACAGAATGATCCAGAAGATGAACATGTGCTATCATCATCGAAATTGTAGTTTTGGACACCACACTACTGAATGCAGTTATTGGGGCCTCTGGCTGGACTCCAAGCACTAAACAGAAGCTTTGCCATTGAGGCATGGTTTCAATATGATGGTATGCTAAAGAAAAGAGGATGGCTTTATGTTATAAACTATTATCAACAGCACCAAATTCTTAATGTTTCTTTTTTTCTTCTCTCAGACGTAATCAATTTCCTATTGCTGCACGCAAGCTGCTTGAAAAAAAGAAGAAAGCCTGTTGTCCTGTTGATTTTTTGATACCTTTACATTTTTTTAAAAGAAATCGTGGTGCAGGAATGGTAGTTTGTCAAATCAAAATTGCTAATTTTTCATTTAGTCAATAGGAACTACCTGACCTAATCACCTCTAACCTTTCCCCTTTCCTTATGTTCCTTGGAGCTATCCATGAAAAGAAATACCCTAACTTGACCCTAGCAGAGCTCGCTGTTGGTGTGTGATTGTGTTTAGAGGATGATGAGGAGAGTGAGCGTGGGAATGGGGTTTGTAACCATACTTGTCAATTAAAAGTTTCACGTTCAATGCGCTCATTATGCATATCTATTACCTAATTTAACATTGGCAGGGTGATGGAAAACACAAGACTTCGAGGCAAAGTCCCAGACTCCCTTTTCAGCCTTCCTCAGTTACAGACAGTGTCAGTATCAATTTTAACCTCATACGATGACTTCATTTCATATGAGCCTGGAATCTAGCATATTAGAAAATATACTTCCTTTGGTTTTAAGCTTTGTTATTTCTGTCCATTCAATTATACGATGAGTACTAATCAAAAGCTTTGCTTTCATGAATGGCAGTATATTGAGGAATAATCAGCTTAATGGCTATTTGGATGTTGGCCCCAGCTATAGCAACCAACTGAAATGTATAGATATGCAGAACAATTCCATAGACGGCTTTATGGAACGTGGGGGATTCCATGTTAAATTAATGTAAGTGGCAAGCTGTATGATGTGATCTTTTTTGGCATTTTATGTGGAAAGCTGTAGTGAATACTTAATTTCTTTCTGAAATTCATTATGTATGTGCATGTGATCTATCTTCGTTTTTGCTTTACCATAGCATGAAATAACTGGTGTATCCTCCTATTATTTTGTTATATGGCCACCCAAAATTTATCCTTTCCCTCCTTCAATAACAGTTTGCTATCCTCATAGCAGACTTGTGAGCTGGACTGTTGCTATATATTGGTTTCAAGGAAGTTTACTAAATGATATCATGGGAAATATTTTTCAAATTATTTTTACACTCTTCAGCGGTTTTCTAAGAAGAATGATATAAGTGGATAAGATGGTTTTGTTTTGTTTTGAGAACGCAAGATGAAAACAAAAAAATGAAAAAAAAAAACCAATGAAGGTGAGGCCAAAGATAGGGGTGTTCGTGCTTCGGTTTGGTTCGGTTTAATGTTTAAATTCAAACCAAATCATACTTTATGGTTTGTAATTTTTATAAATAAAACTGAACCACGGTTTATGATTTGGTTCGATTTCAAACCATTGTTTGTGATTTACAAAAATAAAATAGATTAGTTTACTATTTTTATAAAAATTTTAATAGAGTTTTCCTAAAAATTGGTCATTCATTTTTTCTCAACGTATTTAATTTAACAAATTCATTATTTATTAATTAACTATAGTAATTATACATTTTATAATAAATATATTTATACTATTTTACAGAATTTTATTATTATTAATATAAATTACACTGTAAAAAAGAAAATAATCAATTATTAGAATGAATATAAATATAAAAGATAACAAAAAGAATAAATATACAGTCAAATAATAAATATATACTATATATATAGAGATAGGATTTTTAGTTTTGTATATATATAAACTATATGGTTTGGTTCGGTTTATACAGTTTGTCTATACATCAAATATCAAACCAAACCGCACTATATGGTTTGGTTCGGTTTTATACAGTTTGGTTCAGTTTATACAGTCTAATCAGTTTAGTTCGGTTTGTTGTACACCCTAGCTAGAGATACACTCTTGTTTGGGAGTGAATTGCCCAGTTAGATTATCTGTACAACTTTCTTTTGCTTTCTCATTTTAGAAACTCATTTGTGCACTTTCTGTTATTTTCTGCAGACTTGTAGAGAATCCAGTTTGCACGGAAAGTGATCAAGACAAACCATACTGCACTGTTCAGCTGTCTAATTATTCATACTTAACACCAAAACAGTGTGGACATGTTCCCTGTGCCTCGAACAAAAATTCTCAGCCCAAACTGTTGGTGTGCACATCCCTACAGGGGTACCCTATTCTTCAAGGCTCCTTCCTTCTCAGACCTTGGAAACCCAAATATCTATATGGATCTTGAGGGTTCTCTGATGAAATCATTTAAAATTCATCAGCTACCAGTAGATTCACTTTCTCTGAGTAATCCAGCTACAAACAGAGATCATTATTTTGTGCTAAAACTAGATCTCTTTCCATGTGATCAAGATCATTTTTAATCAAACCGGAATTTCGAATATTGGATTTCTACTGAGCAACAAAACTTTCAAGCCTCCCATCCTATTTGGACCCTACAATTTTATTGGTGAAATGTATGGATACTTTGCAGGTACTAGCACAAGTTAAATGTGATAGAGTTTCTGTCTTGTGTCACTCTAATCTCTTTCTCCACCATATAAATGATCTACAGGAAGTAATAAATCGTCAAATACCATCATAATCGTCGGAGCAGCAGTTGGTGGTTCTGTCCTGCTGTTGTTTTCTCTCATTGCAGGAATTTACGCTTTTCATCAAGGAGAAGAGCTCTGAGAGCTGGTAAGCAAAAACAATCCTTTTGGTAAAACTGGAAGTTATCTAGTTTTTGGTTATATTTTTTTTTTTAATTCTTCGTTATTGCCACACCAATGCAGTTTCTTGGACCGTCATAGAAGTAGTGGTGATGTTCCTCAGTTAAAAGGAGCCAGGACTTTCTCATTTGAAGTGATTAAAAAATTCACAAACAATTTTTCAGAAAACCAATGGTATAGGATCTGGTGGATATGGGAAGGTTTAGCTTTTATAGTTTTACTTTGTGAGAAAGTTTTTAGTAACTGAGAGTCCCTCTGAAATAGATTGGAAGTTGTGTCCATTTACTGTACCCGCTCAATCTTCAATGGAGATTTGTCTTCCCTGCAATAACTCTTTCTGCAATGACACTGGATTTGGATGTGGAAAATGGCATTTTTATGGTGCAATTCTGCATCATTTTACTAAACTCTCTGGATTTATTAGAATAGAGAATCATATTCATGTTTTCCTTTTATCATTTATTTGACCATGGTAGTTGATGACATTTGAAACTCTGTGAACTATTCAGGTGTATTCTTGATAAGTCACAGTAAATATGTCAATCAGTCACCTAATTTAGTCAAACTGCTATAACTGAACACCAAATATATATATATATATATATATCTCCTCTTTTATCTCTTTTCCATTTTATATTAAATGGTGTTTCTAATCATTCTTCATTTAAAAAGTTGTGCAAAATATTGCCTTTTGTAACTTTAACATGCTCAAACTTCTAATTTATTTATAGGTTTACAGGGGAACTCTTCCGAATGGGGAACTAGTTGCCATCAAAGAGCCAAACCAAGGTCTACGCAAGGTGGTCACGAGTTCAAAACTGAAATTGAGCTTCTATCTAGGGTGCATCATAAAAATGTTGTAAGCCTTGTGGGTTTCTGTTGTGAGCAAGGCGAACAAATCTTGGTGTATGAGTACATTCCAAATGGCACACTCTATCAAAGTCTTGCAGGTACTTGGTTTCATTCCATATCTTATCCTTCAGCATGATACTGATGCCAGTGCTTCAGGCATAACTATTCTTTTATTTTACTAGTATTCCTGTTTGTCATTGCTGTTTGTTTAAATGAGTAGTCATATGACTTGATTGTAGCCGAACAAATGTTAAAGAAAAATTAGGAAAAAATTGAACAGGATACACCTCATCCGGAGTTTGATTGGTTATCATATCTAATCAGTGGAAGAATGAAAAAAACGCGGGGGGGGGGGGGGGGGGGGGGGGGGGGGGGGTGGGGGGGGGGAGGGGGGGGCACTCTTCCGAGTTCCTAAATAGATTATCAGATCATTTTTCTTGAGAAGTAGGTGTGGAATTGAAAAAAGTCTATAAAAAAGCTCATTGGGAAATAACCGGATTGGCTCTTGTTGTTGTCATCAATGTTGGCATCATCAGTAAGGAAAACTCTGAGCTTGTCATCCAAGAAATAATATAGAAATACAGTAATGAAAGGAATATTAACTGCATTATTACTTGCACAGGGAAGTTAGGAATCAGGTTGGATTGGATGAGGAGGCTACGGATAGCCATTGGAGCAGCAAGAGGGCTGCAGTATCTGCATGAGCTTGCCAATCCTCCCATCATACATAGAGACATCAAATCCAACAATATTTTACTGGACAAACACCTAAATGCAAAGTTTGTGATTTCGGTCTCTCCAAGCTCTTTGGTGACGAGGAAAAAGGGCCACGTTAGCACTCAAGTCAAGGGGACATTGGTTAGTAAGTTTCTGCTAATCCTGTATTTGGAACGAACAACTTTTCTTTGAATTTGGAATAAAATAAAGATATAGAAGCTGGCATGGACTTCTTTATGAAGTTGTGATGTACTAGCATTGTACACGAATGTCATTTGCACTTGAAATGCCTAATTAGTCGTTTATCCATCTAGTATGCCCAAGTAATCAAGTTAGTTCACAAAAATGCATAGTAAACTGTTTTATGTCATTAGATAAAGAGGGTGAGCCTGGGATCCATAGTAAGGTTGCTCCTTTGGGGCCAATAGATCACCAATTCAAATCACAGAAACAGCCTCTTTTCAAAGCAGAGGAGCAAGGCTGTGTACATTCAAACAACCCCTGGCCCAACTCTCTGAAATCTGGGGGCCTAGTTGCCTGGGATGCCCTTTTTTTAGAAGTATAAAGTTTAGCCATGTGGTTCTGTCATTTGACATGACAATCGATTGAATTCAGCATTTGCTTGCATGTCTGCATTGGCCAAGTCCACTCAACAGCCACACCCAGCCATAAACTGACACAACATCCATCTGATTATAGAAGTGCTTAAGCTTAACTGTGAAAAGAATTCTTATAAAAATTTCTGAAAAAGTGTGTACAGTCAGGACTCAGGAGCCCCTCTAGGTAACTGTAGTACCAAATCTCATGAAATCTGTCATTTGTACTAAAACGGCATATAACAGAATATGTTAAACATCATTTAGTTTCTTTTATCTCTTGTTCAATGCCACCAACAGTATAGAGTTCCTAGTCACCTTCCTACTTGAAGGAAAAAGGACTACAGATACTACAAGAAATTACTCCTGCTACCTAAAACAAACCAAGCAGAAAAGTGATTTAATCTCCGAACAGTCGGAGTTCCCACTAAGTGAGTGTAAAATAGACCTCATTAAAATTCTTTCATTCAAAAGCTACCCAAGTTTGAAGCAAGACCAAATAGGAGGAAGCTATTAATTTGTTCAGAATAAGATTAGCAAAAACACGGATGTATCAGGTATCTAACAAAGCACAAATACCTCAGAAGCCAATAGCTTTTGTCTAATAATGAGTTTTGATCTCACAAGCTACTGGCATAGGATAGATCCCACTCAAGCATGAAGCATAACAGTCATATTAAACTTTAGCAATCAGTGGAGCGCCAAATAGAAGTCTACAACTCCAGCACCCCTGCCTTACCCTAGTATCCCTAACATGATATGAAAACTTGCTTTTGGAAACTAACCCAACATTTTAATATGGCTAGCGTTTGCCCCTGGTCACAAGGCGAACCACAACAATGCTAGGAGACATTGTAGTATCCCTGTTTCTCCCTGTGACATCTACATGATAGGTTAGCATTGCCTTCAGTGATGTGGATGATCACACTATATTGAGGCATAGACAGGCACATCTATGTGTTTCTGAGGTTGGTGTATTATTGCAAAAACATTTTTCATTAAAGAAACATTGCACACTTAAATACAGTATCAAATTATTGAAGTGCTTGATAATGCTTGTATTTTGGATAAAACCTACCCTTTTTTTTTTTGCAATAGGGGTACTTGGATCCAGAATATTACATGACCAGCAGTTGACTGAGAAGAGTGATGTTTACAGCTTTGGAGTGCTAATGCTAGAACTGATAACTGCAAAACAGCCAATCGCGAAAGGGAAGTATATTGTAAGAGAGGTGATGCAGATAATTGACAAGACAAAGTTCTATATAATCTTCACGAGATTCTGGATCCTACCATTTTGGCTTCCACGCCTAGAGGTTTAGAGAAATTTGTAGATCTGGCTATGAGTTGCCTTAGAGAAACTAGATTTGCGAGACCTGCAATGGGTGAGGTTGTAAAAGAGATAGAGAACATCATGCTCATAGCTGGGCTGTGCCCAATGCCGAATCTGCATCACTTTGGACAAGTGAAGAAGGATCTAGTAAATGGTTGGACCATCCTTTAAGCGACGAGAGTCTTAGCCCA